GAGTGGGGCTGTGGGCACTGAGTGGGGCTGTGAGCACTGAGTGGGGCTGTCGGCACTGAGTGGAGCTGTGTGCACTGAGTGGGGCTGTGAGCACTGAGTGGGGCTGTGGGCACTGAGTGGGGCTGTCGGCACTGAGTGGGGCTGTCCGGTCTAGGTTTCACTGAAGGACGACCTGGCTCGATCCTTTATTTAGCAAATCTCTAATATTATTATTTTTAGGTCTTTCTTTTTTGTCTAGATGAATTCCCCTGCAAACATTATTTCGGTTTCCTGCCTAGAAAGTAAAGGTCTGGCCGCCAGCCCTCTGCGAGCCACGTGGAAGCCAGAGCTAGGGCCACGGCTCTGAGCACCTTCCTTAAACCCGCCCGTTCGGTTCAGGGCCTTCGGTCTTCAGCTCTGCCTGGAGTCCCACCTCATTTTCTCTCTGTAGCAAGAGTAGACAGGGCCATTCGCGACTGAAAATAGAGGACCTCAGGACTTCTGAACTGATTTCCGATTAAGCCTCTTTACATGGGTTCTTCCCCTCACCTCCACCTCCCTCCGCTCCTGCCAAAGCCGGAGCCCTCTAAGGACATCGGTGTAGAGCGCACTGGCTCTGAGCTCCCTTGTTGCTGGGACGAAGTTCAGACACATCTGCTTTCTAGCCACCAGGAATTTAAGGCTGTCGCCTCATTTTTCATTCTATCATTATTGGGTTTTTGCCTTTAAAGAAATCTACTATCATTTTTTAAAGAGGTTTTTGCCATAGAATGTGTGCGTTTGCCAGAGACAGAGACAGAGACAGAGACAGTGAGTGGGAAAGTGAGAACTCACCCCCCAGGGAAAGGACCGCACCGTAATCCCTTCTCCTCCATTCTCCTCCTTGGTCGCAGGCACACACGCAGGCCCAGGGTGAATTTTAAGCCAGGACTCAAACTGGGGTTGACCCTGTGGAACTCCGGGGACATAACCACTATGCCATCTGCTGGCCCCAAAACGATTATTTTAGTATTAATAAAATATTGGAAAGGAACAATAGTAAATGCATATTCCCCTTGAAGGTTAAACCATGTCTTCTAAATACAATATGGTAAGATTTTTTCCCACTCAATTCATCATTCAGTCAATATCATTGAATATTCAAAGGACATCAATAATTATTCACTATTCCATAGGCAATGCTCTTACAAAATAGGTTGATCTCAGGTAACTTCATTTTTACTTCTATCAAGATTGTTAAGTCCTGTGGCATTTTGAATGATGAAAGGAGTATAGTCCCAATTTTAAAGCTAAATCTTGGGTTTTCTTATGAAAATTGTATTGTCAAATACACATGGGAAAACTTCAGCATATAGTAGCAAAATAAAACTATTGTTTTTATTACTGCTATCACCCCACTTCACGACAGATACTTCCATACAATAGTTAAGTGTTCCGTTGTTGTTTCACAAGTTTTTACATTTAAGCATTTTTTTCTGTAGAGCTCAGGGGTTGTGGGGGAGGAACACAAGAAAACACCTCCCGGGGGATGGCCACACCTTCGTCCCTCCTTCTCCATTCTCCTCTGGATTTGGGCGCACACACACACATGCTGGGCATTGCTTTTTAAGCCACCAGGTCCACGACTTGAACCGTGCCATCAGCCATGTGGGATTCAACTGCCTTAATGACTACCCCACTGGCTGGCCTGAGTTTTCACATTTTAATTTTTTTTTCAGTTTTCCTGTATTTTTAGCTCAGTTTAGTCCCCTGCCATCTTATTTCTCATTTCTCCTTTGACCCAACAAGTCCTATGCCAGTAACCTTCCCTAAGGAAATAATCAGGGGCAGCTGGTGGCATGGTGGTTCAGGCACTGGACTCCCACGTGGCCAATTGCGGTTTGAGTCCTGAACCGAGTGGCTTGCTGTCCCACTTTCCCACTCTCTCTCTGTCTTTCTCTAGTCAGATTAAAAGATAATAATAGGGACCAGCTGTTGGTGTAATGGCTATGTAGCTGGACTCCCATGTAGTCAACCGTGGTTCAAGACCCAGACCAGGTGGCTTAAACTCACGCCAGGCGCATGTGCGTGCGTACCCAAGATCCCGAGAGGAGAAGGGAGGAGAAGGGGTTGCGGCGTGACCATGGGTGATTTCTCACTTTCTCTCTATCTCTCTCTTTCTGGTGAGCGCATGCGCCCTATAGCAAAAACTTCTTGGAAAAAAAGATCATAATAAATGTTCTTTCTCTCTCTCTCAGTCCCTCTCTTTAAAAATTAAAATAAAGTTAAATAAAATAATTCTTAAAAAAATAATTAATAAATTATAGTACATCCATGTAGTTGAATACTGTGCAGCCAAAAGAGTGTTTGTGACATGACGACTTCCAGAGATAAATATTTAGCTTAAAAGGTAACAGGAAGGCCGGTCTCGCAGCCTAGCGGCTAAGAAAAGCAGATTCTGTATGGCCAACTATGATTCAAACTCCGGCCCAAAAAGCTGGAAAAACACACGAGGCACATGAGTGTGCATGCCCCGAATCCTGATGGGCGAGAAGTGGAGAAGGGCTGAGGCGTGACCTCTCCCACTGGGGGATGCTTTCCCTTCTCTGTCTCTGGCACATGCACCTTCTGGCAGTTACATAAATAAACAAATAAAAAGTACGAGCCAGATTAATAAATAAACATATATATATATTTAATTTATTATTAAATGGATTGAAAACATGCTGAATTTTTTAATACCGAAAAATTAAGAAAACACAAAAATTTTAATGACAATTATTGAGGGAGGAGTGATTGCTGGATTTTTTTTCCTTCTTTGTAATTTGTAGAAATCTCAGTTTTGGAGGCCAGCAGGTGGTGTAATGGTTAGGGCACTGGACTACCACGTGGCTGACAGCAATAAAGTCCCAGACCTGGGGGACTGAAACTCACACCAGCCACATGTGCATGCATGCCCAAAATCCCAAGGGAATAGAGGAGAAGGGATTGCAGCATGGCTACACCCCACGGGGTGCTTTGTCGGTTTTTCTCTCTCTGTCTCTTTGTACACACACCCTGTGGCAAAGCATCTCACGAAAACAAACAAACAAAAAAAAACAACTCTTGATTTTCTAAAATGATAATGGAATTTTCACTTTGAACTCTCACCTTTAACATTTAAAATGTATGCACACATACATAAAGTATGCATACGTGTACATACATGTGTATATATGTATATGTATGTATATCATTTTTAATTGAGCAAATTCTGCTTTCAGATGTTTGCTGGGCTTCCAGGAGAGCTGGGAGTCCCTGGAGAGCCGGGACCTCGTGGGCGCATGGTAAATGCAAAGTTATAAATCCCGGCGGGTCTTTTTCAGCTTAGACAGTTACTGCATGGAGGTGTCGCTGTTCAAGATGACGTGCATGGCTTCTGAATCTGCCGCTTGGCCCCTGTTCTCGCCGTTTTCCGTCTGGGAACGCTGGGAGGCAGGACAAAGATGCCGGTTAGCTGTGTCTCCGCAGACTGGCGACCGCGATAGGAGAGGAAGTGCCCCAGCCTAGGCGCGATGCTCAGTCAGCAGTGGCTCTCCTAGCTCGGTCACTCCATGACCAGCTGAGTGAGCGGAAGTGGCAGGAAGCTGTGAACAGTGGCTGTGTCATTATCGACCTCGGGGCCTGGGTGTGCCTCTGTCCCAGGTTCCTCGGCGTCTCTCCGAGCATAGCCAGACTCTGCCTGTCCCAGAGATGGATTGAACACCTGCAGTTAGGCCCAATCCTCTTTGTCCCCCACCCAGTGTTAACCTGGTCCCTTTGTCATCTGGCCAGTCACGGGGACAGAGTAAGGTTCCGCTCTGGCTGCCGCGCAGTGCCCAGGCAGATACGGTGGGAGAAGTCCAGAGCTCCGCAGTGCCGTGGCGGGTGGCGCCTGCATGTGATGGTCCCGCCCTCGCCCTCGCTAGCCCTAAGCCCAGGTGCCCTGAGTGCTGCGGCCAAAGGCCAGGTGGGAGCTACCTCCTGAGCTGCTGGACAGAGAGGGAAGAGCAGGAGGTTTCCAGAGGGTCGGACGCAAGGCTTGGGCTTGTAGATTGTTGTCCTGAGACTGACTGCTCGCAGGGAGGAGCCGCCTGTCTGTATCCTTCACCTCTAACTTCATGAGAGGAAGAACTTCTAAGAAAGCAGCACGATCCTAGGGCAAGGCCAGGGACTATCTGACGGCCAGTGTGAGCCTCCAGGGCCGTAACCATTTCGTTTGTTTCTCTAGGGCGTGAAAGGGGCCAAAGGACTGGCTTCGTTTTCCGTAGGTATCTCTGAGCACTCCATTAACTGTATTCATCTCAGTCTTCTGGGCGAGCGGTCTGTCGGCTAATCCTTCCTGTTTTCTTCCCAACTGCAGACATGTGAGCTCCTCCAGTACGTGCGGGACCACAGCCGTAAGTACCCCACTGCCCGTGCAGACGAGCAAGCAGGAAAGGCCGCCCTGGGCAGTGCGCGCCCACCCTGCCAGTTCTGAGTGAGCAGAGCCCGTGGCTGTTAAGTCCCTCCTGCTGCCCACTCGCTCGTGGGGCCCCATCCCAGCACTGGGCAGTAATTATCCAGTGCTTTGACTCGGGAAAACTGAGAGTTGAGGTCAGAACTCTCCTAATGGTGAAATCAGCTGAGCGTCACGTCGAACTTCTGAAAGATGAGTATTGCCGCCTGAAGCACCTGGCAGGCTGAGTTCCCGGCGTGAAGGCGGCTGTGGTAAGAGGCGTCCTGTGGGTGGGGCCCACCACCGGCTTATGGTTATTACCCCTTCCCGGAGAGGCCCGGTGATTGCTTCGAGCTGGAATGATTGATCTGCTTGTGAAATTTATAGTCATGCCCCTCCTGCCAATACTCTCAGGAGTTTCAACCCAAAAGGTTCTGGCCCAGGACCCACGCAAACCGTAATTACGGGCAGATCGGAGTGTGAAGGGATCTGGTCTTCTAAAATTTGAGGGGCTCCCCATGAAATTGCAGGTACAAGAGTAGGCACAAAGTGATTTCAAAGGAACTGCTGCTCAGAACGAGAAATGAAGTTGCGACCAGTCACTTCTGCATGGGTTAGAGAGACGCACACTGCGTGAACTGTCGGGGCTCCTCCCAGGCAGAATCGCGGGCCGGGGAGTGAGCCGTGTAAGCCCGCGCCGTCCAGCGAGCTTTCCGCAGCATCGGGCATGGGGGCGTGCTCCCTGCGCTGTCCCTTCAGTCACCACTCGCCGCGTGTCGCTTAGTACAGCCGAGAAGCTGCACTTTTAATTTAATTTAATTTCGATTAACTGAAGTTTCAATCTGTTCAGTTGCCAGAGGGCACATATGTTCACCAGGGAGAGAGCGCGCGAGGTGGCACCCTGCACCACGCGGGTCTCTCCGTTCTCCTGTCTCCCCACCCATCAGGATTGGGGCATGCACAGGCATCCACCTGCTGTGTTTTTAAGCTGCCCGGGCTGGGACTTGAACTGCAGCTGGCCATGTGGGATTGGCACCCTTCACCGCTGTTACGGAGCGGGCCCATAAACTGAAGTGTAAATGGCGACATGTAGTTTGTGGCCGCCATGCTGAA